CAAAGGCATAAGGGTGGATAGAAGACAGTGTCAATGCAAAAAAATCTTCTAGGGGGCCTCCCTGGTTGCCTAGGGGTTAAGTCTCAGCACTTTCACTGTCACAGCCTGAGTTTGATCCCCAACCAGGGAGCTAACCCACATGGTGCAGCAGACCTCTCCTGTCTTACCCGCTGCTCCCCTCAGCAGTGTATTTCAATAGATCTACCTGTTCTGCTGCCCACTCTGTCTCTGGTGAATCCTCTTACCCCCCACACCTCTGGCCTACACTCCAGTTCTATGCAGAGAGAGAGAGAGAGAAAGAGAGAGAGAGAGATCTTCTAGATATGAATAAAAATAGGAGACAGTTCAATTTTTAATGTGTGCCATATATGAACAAGAAACAGGTGACAAATGGCAACATGCATTTATGCACATAGATGTATTGTTCACCAAATCATCCAGCTATACTTCTGGATATATTCCTAAAGGAAATGAAATCAGCACCTTCAGAGAGACCTGTATTCCTATGTTTGTTGCAGCATTATTCACAAAAGCCAAGATATGGAAACAACCTGTGTGTCCATTGATGGAGTGGATAAGGAAAATGCACTGTATGTACATGTACAACAGAGTGTTATTCAAGCTTAAGGAAGGAAGGGACGCCTGGCCATTTTGTAGCAATACAAATGAATCTGGAGGACATTGTGCTAAGTGAAATAAGCCAGACACAAAAAGACAAAAACTGCACAATCTCTCTCATACATGGAATCTAAAAAAGTTGAATATACATAAAAGCAGGGGGTAGAACAGTGGTACCGGGGTGGCGAGGTGGAGGAAACAGGGAAATGATGGTCGAGGGGTGCAAAGTTACAGTGACACAGGATGAGTAAGTGCACACATCTAAGTTACAGCTGATGAATATAGTTAATAGTATTGTATGGAATTACTGGAAATTTTTCTCCCCAAAAGAAAAAGAAGGTACTATATGAGCTGAACATGTTAATTAGCTTGACTAGTAGTAATCATTTCACTATGTATATGTTTATCAAATCATTATATATATTCCTTATATACAGTTTTTTAAATAAATAAATTTGTTTATATTTTTATTTTTTTCTCCAATAATTGCCCCAGAAGTTCCCTTGTACCATTTGTTGAGTACTTTCTCCACTGAATGCCATACTAGCATACAAAGCACATTTATATAAACTGGGGTCTATTTCTGGGCTTTCTATTATGTCTCATTGCATCAGTGATAACAAATAGGGACCCTGTAAGCCCAATTAGAACTTCCAGATGTGTGTTTTGACTGGTTTTGGTTTGGGCCAGAAGTATTTTTTTTAATTGAATTTTACAGCTTCCACAGAGTCAGCCCCGTTTAGACCAAGTTACTTGCCGGGTCCTTCAGGCTGGTGAGTTCTGCCTGCAGTGACTTTTGCAACGATTGTTTAAATACTTTCATCTTTATAACATATTTCAGTACATAATAGTGGACATTCTCTCTCCTTAGTCTTTTTTTTTTTTTTTTTGTTATCTTCTGGAGTATTCTAATTTTCCAAATAAAACTGTAATTTTTTTGTTGTTGTTGTTGTAAGTTTCTGGAGGAAAAAAATCTTTCTAGGATCTTCATTGCAATCTCATCAAATTCTTAAATTCATTTGGACAGAATTTACATTCCTACAATATTGAGTCATTAGTCAGAAACTTTGACTCTACTCAGTTCTTCATTATAACACTCAGTAAAATTACAAGTTTTCTTTTTAAAGATCCTATATTGGGAGGAGAAGAATCAAAGACTGTCTCCCCAGAATGTGCCAAAGTGGCAGGCTGATTATTCTGAACTGAATGAAAATGAGAGGCAAAAGATCTAAGAATGATGTTTTTTCGCCCCTACTTTTCTCCTCAATTTCAGGAAATAGATCTTCTCTGTGGGGTCCTGGAGGTGAGAGACAGCTTTCTCACCGCAAAACAGGGTCTGCAAGACATATATAGATAACCCTGCAAAATTCCTTTTTTCAAATTTCAAAATTTCTTTTGATCTGTCTCTTTTCCTCCCAAATTTTTTTGCCTTTTTTCCCAAAACTATAAACCCACACTGCAATGACCAAATGAGGGGTTCATATTGCATGGTTCCCTAGCTTTTCTCTTGCTAATCTCTCGTGTTAATTTGTTACTAGGCCTGCTTGCAAGACCCAAAGAGGGTGAGGGGGAACTCTCTCCAACTTCCCCTTCAATAGTTCTTACTAAATGTATTTATTTCTAAGGATTTCATTTTGCTGCTGCCAGTACAAATGGATATCTTTTTCTTTTTTCTCAAGATGATAAAAGTAATATAATCACAATTAAAAGAAAATGAAACAATACAGGAATATAAGGAGTAATATTTCCGTCATCAGAGCTATGATACTCTATCCTTCCAGAGTTTTCTCTATATTTAATCATGGACACACATACACACAAAGACACACACATACTGACTAAATCACACTATACATACTATTCTGCATCTTGCTTTTGTCACAAAGCAATCACAGATTCCATTCCATGCCCATACACGTAAACCAACCTCACTCTTATACATTGTGTAATATCACATTAAATTTGAATCATTTTTTGTTAATTAACTTTTTTGGATTTTCACAGTAGATGATCCCAGCATCTGCCCTTATGTTTAAAAAAAGGGGGGGTTAAAAAAATAAGAGAAGAGAAAGCAATTTTATTGTCTTTTTGCAATAACCAGAACATCTGAAACTAAGTCAAATGATTGTTGTAATAGGAAAAGCCTGTCGTGTCCCCTTCCACAATGGAGATCATAGAGCTGCAGACTGGACTGGGCTTAGACCCTTTATTATTGCTTGGAAGAGAGTCTCCCAAGAGAGCTGCCCCCAACATACCTGGTGAAGTCATTGAGACTTGAGGTTATTTGTTACAGTAACAGACATGGGCATGCTTGACCAATACAAGGAGTTTCTCAAAACATCCATTTTGAAGCATTCAATATAGTGTATCTTCATGATCCTACTTATATGAACTACAAGACATTATGAAATAGAATACAACAAATAAAAAATGATTTCCTCACTCCAAATACTCATTCAATCTTCAGCAAACTGGTCTTTGTTGTGTACCCAGCACTCTGCTGCTCTGTATGACTGGATAATATTTTTTGAGATACTAACCTAGATTATTTCTTCTCCTGACCAGATTATTTCTTCTCCCTCCCCAGTTTTAAGCAGATACTTGTCTTAGAGGAGGACGGGACAGGACAGAAAATACGCCTATTGTTTACCAACAACATAAACCACTAGGAGAGTTTACTAGATGCCTCAGAAGCAAAGAGCAAGATGGAAATAGGGGGAGTTGTGGGAAGAAAATTGGGCTCACCCTGGGAGGGAGAGGAGGCGACCTCGAGAGAGCACAGATTTCTGAGACTCCCAGACAGCCTGCACTCTGCTGCTGGCCCCTGGGAAAGCAGTGAGACCCCAGAGGGGAACGGAGGTGGTCATGTCGGCACTGAGGAAGCAACAGAGAGAGCCCTAGACACGAGGGGATACACAGGTGCAAAGGCCACCTTAGCAGTTATCAGTATGCACCGCTCTGCTCCTGGACCACACTGGATGTGCCCTTGTACTAGGGCAAACAAGTGACGGAAGAAATAGAGAGCCCCCTCTTCAAGGGTGGCCATTACACTGTCCTCCTCAGCAAAAGAGTTGGGTAACCCCAAATTGACTAGGCCAGGCTCTGGGGATAAACAATGAAAGAAACACACTCTTTGAGGAGCTGACAATCATTATTGTATTCTTCTGGATCCCTGCTGGATCTGTTTACTTGGGGGCACTTCGGTGTTGAACCACCTCTGGTTGAGGGCCTTAGCGTGGGGTGGGGATGAGGGGGGGTGGATATGTTCTGGGTAGGGTTGTGGCTGTCCTGCTGCCTCCCTGAGCCTGTCAGGCTGGCTGGTAGCGACTTAAGTGCCACCGCCTCAGGAGTCTCTGAGGACCAGCCCGTAAGGGCAAGCTGGGAGAGTAAGTGCGGGGCGGGGTGGGGGGCGGTAGGGCCTGGACGGGACCGTGGCCCGCAGCACGTCTCTTCCAGCGCTTGAATGGAGAGTGAGAGCGGGCGGCCAGCAGGGGGCGCCGGAAGACCGTGAACGTCGCGGGGGTGGGTTTGCAGGGATCGGGAGGCAGTCGCAGCCCTGAGCCCACGACCCCACCCCAATCCTTTTGGACGGCAAAGGGAACGAGGGAGTGAGGCCGCGCCACCGGCCTGAGTCTCGGACGCAGAGTGTCGCGGGGGGCCTGTGCCGGCAGTAGGGAGCTCAGCTCGGGGTCCCAGCCTGTGTTCCCCTCCAGGATCCCCCTCTAGTCGGCCTCACACACAGGGTGTCAAATTGAGATGCTGGACCCTGGGCCAAATGAGTTCATGCACAGTGCTCTCATGGGGTCAGGAAGGCAGCCATCATAAACATGTAAATGTGAGATGTTTGTGGTACTGTGTGTTGGCATTTCTTTGTATTTTAATATTCTGTTAACATCAAAAGAAGGCATTGAGTGTGTTACCCTCCCAGGGGCCTTGCCCTGGGCCCTCCTCCATGTGGGACTCTGCCTTCCTAGTCCCCAGGCTTCTGCCCTTCCCACCCCCTATGTCTCCCCACATCTCCAGCACCTACCACTTGGTTCTCAGCTTCAGGCCTCCCCACCTCCCACAGGCTCTGCTTTGCTATCCACCCCCACCCCACCTCAACTATGCACCTTCCTTCCTATAGCCTTTTCTGCTGGATCATCTGTCCTAGGCTCATCCTCCTCCTTCACCCTCACATACACCTTGACCAAACCCCCTTCTCAGCCATGGACACCCAGGCCCTGCCTCCGGGACACCAGCATGTAATCTGTCTAACTTCTTCCCAGACTTCCTGAAGGGCAAATGCAGGAAGAGAGAGCAGGGCCCCAGCAAGAGTTGAGTCAGCCAGCCAGGGGACAGAGGGCAAAACCTGGGTTCCATGTGTGGTCCACAGAACCAGGCAACCTGTTGCTAGGTAACCAGATCGCCATCAACACCCCAACACTTCATCCTGAGCTTCTGATCTCAGCTTCCAGCCATCTTCCCCCAATCTCTTGGACACCCACTTTTTGTGGGACCCTGAAAAACAGGAACCCAGTCACCACTCTGAGCCCCCTGTGGCTCCATTATCCGCTGTTTCACAGTAAAGAGCAACTGTCCGGCCGTCAGGTCACCGCCACTATGAGTCTGGGCATCATGGAAGAGGAAGATCTTGCCGAGTACTTCCGGCTTCAGTATGGGGAGCGGCTTCTGCAACTGCTGCAGTGAGTGTCTGAGGGCTCTTGGGGGCTCCACCCCCCTGCCCTCGGAGCCAGGATCACTCATACCCACCCCACTCCCCACCTCTCACCCTGTCCCTTCCTGCTCCTATAACCCACTGCCCCAAATCAAGGACCCCCATCCTTTATCACCCTGCTCTAGCAAGTCCCCGAAGTTGCCAGCACAGCCTTCTCTCCCTCACAACATACCATTCCTTCCACTCAGGCTAGGGAGGACACCCTCCCCTCCCCATGGGTGCCTGTCTCTGGCTGACTTCTAGTACCAGCGCTGCCCAGGTGCTCAGGACTCACAGGCCCCTCTGCCCATGTCTTGGACAGGAAGTTCCCCAATATTGAAGATCAGGCGGAGTCCCCATGCATCCAGTTACTGGAGAAGAAAAAGGAGGCCAAGATCATGCACCATGCTATGGAACATAAAAAGGAGGTGGGGCGCTAGGAGGAGGGGTGCAGAAAGGGTCACAGGGCTCCTCTGTTTTGTGGATGGAGGTGGCTAAAGTCAGCAGTCCTGGGTGGGGGTTTTGTGGTCCCTTTTTTTTGGAGACAGAAAGGATCCAGGTCTTAGAGGTACCAGATGCTCTGCTCTGAACCAGATGAGGGGAAGAAAGTGAAAGGCTTGGGGATGGAGGACGTGGGGCAGGGGATGCTGGCCCCTCTTCCATGCCCATGTCAGGGGCTCTCCTGACCTCTCTATTGCCCCTACCCTAAGACATTTCAGCACAGAATGGAAACCCTGAACCTGCGCTGGGAGGAACTGGGCATGAAGGAGGCCCAGCTGAAGGCCCATATCCAGAAGTTTGAGCAATTCATCCAGGTATGCCCACACTGCAGTGAGGCAAATTGCCCCCTTCCCACATCCCTTCCTTGCCTTTTCTGACTCCTCACCCTGTGGTAGCTGTCTCCTCAGGGCTCCAACAGTTCCTTGGGCATCCCTTTTTATATCCTCACTCACTGTTCTTCTTGTAATTTCCTCTTTACCATAGATTGCTGTTCACTGGTTCCTTGCTGGCACCTAGTTTGTGCTGTTTATCCAGTGGATGGCTGCCTGGATGATGAATGAATGAATGAGCCATGATCAGGGTTAGGCACTTCGATACAATGCTGAATCAAACAAGGGTTTCAGTACCTCCAACTCACCCTCCCCTTCTGTGCTTGCACTGAAGGTCCAGGCAGGGGCAGTGGAAGGACTGGGTACCAGAATCTATGCCAAGACAACTCCTCTCAATTGATCCTTAGAGGGAATTCAATCATTTAAAAATCCAGATTTCTCCAGATCCACACCAGCCAGAATTTATGGAGCCCTGAGGGCCTGGCCCAGTTCTAGGGGGTGATCACTGGCTTCTGCAGCAGAGGAGTCCTGATTTTAAATATCTCGTCTCATTCTACACCTAAACCCATGGGAAGGATGGACTAGACATATTCTCCAAAAGTTCAGTCCTTCTTACCAGAGTGGAGTGGTTGGGAGTAAGAGATTTGGGGGAAAGTGTTCTCCAAGTGGCTATCAGAGGACCAGCAGTGTTGGGATCCTGGGCAGGTAGTTACAGGTACAGGCCTCAGGACTCTCCTCACTTTCCACAGACCTGAGCTAGGAACTAGGCATCGGAATTTTTTTTTAAAAAATTATTTTTTATTTATATAAGAGCTGGAGTACAGTCCAGAAGCTCGGGAGGGTGAGAGGATTCACCAGAGACAGAGCAGGGAACAGAACAGGCAGACGGACCGAAAGCACTGCTGAGAGGAGCAGCGGGGCAACAGGAGAGGTCTGCCACACCTTATGGGAATCTCCCTGACCAGCCAGGAATCGAACCCACGCTGCAGAGGCTGTGGACAGCTTCACAGCACTGCACTCAACCCGCTGCGCCACCAGGATGCCCGGCATCAGAGTTTTTAAAGAGATCTACAAAGAACTGAGATGCACAGTTGGACTTGAAAAGCACTGGTTAGGGCGCCTCTGTCATCTCTGGGTGTCTGGGAGAGAGTGTGAATCCTCCATGCACCTTGTCCAAATGTCCTCCAAGTGCCACCCTTGCATGCGAGGTGTAGCCATCTCATCTTCCTATAGCTCCAGCATGGTGGCCCCAGCTTTGGGAAGGAAGAGAGGGACTACTGCCCCTCACTTCTACAGTCAGAGAAACTGAGGGACCAAGTACCAAATTAGGAGAAAATTCAGGGCTCCCAAGTCTGGGCCCAGGATCCTGCCCAGTGATAAACGGCCACTGCTAAGAACAGAAACAGAACATTTGTCAGAAGGGCTCCTGCTCTGCCCAACTCCGGGATGCTATCAGCCATTTCTGAAACTGAGTTCTCTCCAGACGCAGAGCCTAGCTCAGCATCGGCCTTCCCATCCCAGTCCACTGTTTAAAGCCCAGGGCCCAAATGCCAGTGTCTGAATCACTTCCTGTCTGATACCCCAACGCCACTTCTTGACATGGGCTAAACCTCTGTCCTTGCAGCATCCTCAGCCCACCTGAGTTCACAGAAATCACCTCAGTTAGCTCGGAATGACCCCAGAGACTCTGTCCCTGCACCTCCTGTCCCAGAAGAAAGGCCCAGCAATGCCCGCCCGTCCTTAGGGTGTACTGACCGCCATAGGCAGGGGCCTTGTGAGGGCTCCACTGACTGGGTCCCAGGGAGGGCAGTCCCAGTGACTGGCTGGTGTCATCTCCCCGGGCTCAGGAGAACGACCAGAAACGGATCCGCGCCCTGAAGAAAGCCAACAAGGAGCGCGAACTCAAGAGGCAGCGCATTCGAGAGCTGACCAAGGCCAAGCAGGAGATGGCGGCCTTGCGGCTGGAGCACCAGCGGCTGAGCAGCAAGCTGCAGGACTACTCAATCTTCAACAAGTACCTGGAGAAGGTGGTGGAGAACTCCGAGGTGAGGGCGGGAAGAGGGGGCAGTTTGCAAGCATGAGGCGAGGTAGGGAGGGTGACTTCCTTGGCCCTCCTAGGCATGGGGCTCTGGAGCTGGGCATGGTCACCCAGCCCTGAGGGGATACCGCCAGTCCTGGAATGGGGTGGGGGCAGCTGGAAAAGGCCCCTGGTGAGGCAAGGCGTCCAGTGGTGTGTGTCCATTTTGTGGGGGGGCTGAGGGCCGAAATCTGTGTAAATGTGTCTGTATGGGCCATGTGATTGCCTCTTCCTGAGTGTTGAGGTAATGATTTGGTTTTGGAGCACCAATAACACACTTTCCCTGCATCAGGCTGTGGCCTACATCTAGTCCTGCTTCCCCTCCTCCCCGGTGTAACTTACTTGAGAATAAATCGTGGCTTGGGAGGGAGAGAAACTGGAAAATCTCCCAACCTAGCATGGAGCTTGAGTCCTCAGTGGTGCTGGGCCTGGGCTGGGTGCTGCAGGCAGGGACTTTGCTCAGACCTCTCCTGAGCCCCCAGAGAAAGCAGTGAAATCACCCTCTTACAGAGGAGGAAATGGAGGCCCAAAGAGGTTAGATCATCAGCTCCCGCCCTCCCAATTTGTAAGTGGCAGAGCTCTTGCTTCTAGCCCTCCTGTGTGGGCCCCAAAGTGCCTCTGATAGCTGGTCTTCCTAAAGGGGCCTTGTCAGACCTAAGGGAACACCCCCACCCTTTCCCCTCCCCTGCATCCTGAGCTATTTGACACTATAGACCCTGCAGACATACCTTAGCTCTTGCCTCAGGGAAACCTTCCCCTTCACTCTCCTGCTTTCTTATTCCTCCTCAGACTCCTCTGGGTGTTCCTCTTCTTTACTCCTTCCTTATGCTTTACTTGCTCTTCGGGTCTTTGTCCAGACCCCCCACTTCTCTCCCTGAGCAGTGCCCCCAAACTCCTATGGATACCACTCATGTCAGTGTCTATCCTCCTTGTTCTCCCCAGCCCCCATGTGACAGCAGAGGCAGGGCCCTCACCAGGTTGGTGAGCATGGTATGAGGAGGTGGACTCTCTTGGGTTATGGATCGGGGTCTTATGAGGGGCTCCAGGGAGGCAAAGGATGCACAGCTTTTTGAGTTTCAGCAATTTCCACATAAAACCACTAACCTAATTTCTTTATGCAGATTCTATTTTGTTAAGTCCTCCATTCTAACGTACTGCCTACTCAGTATAGACACATTGTTCATTTAATAATTGGGTTGTTTTTGTTTTGTTTTGTTTTGTTTTGATGGAGGGAATGAGAGAAGACTACTATAGTAAAGCTACAGAAATATTGTAAGACATGAATCGGATTCAGAGTTGGTAAAATGCATATCTTAGAATTGAGGTGACTGGCCTCTATCTCTCTGTACTGTATGATCCTCCTAAGCTTCAGGCCCCTACTTCAAGTTATTGAGTCCACAACTCAGCCCATCTGCTTCCTGACACCCCAGGCCAGCCCTGCCATTGAAGTGTCCTGTGTTGGTGACTGGCAAGGCCACTCATCCACAAGCCCCACCCACAGCCTTTTAGGAACAGGGCCTCATCCTTACTCCACCCCCCCACTCCCCTACAGCATCAATCAGCAGGTTTGGTCTAGTCTGCCTTCTAAGTATTTCTGGAATCTAGCCCCTGCCCCTTTCTCATCCTGACCACCAATGTGCCTCATCAACTTTACATTATTCCCAGCACCAGCCTGACCACATTCTACACCAGCGTGATCGCTCGCTCTCTTTTCTCTTTCTTTATGTCTTTCAAAATATTTTAAACATACTGAAAAGTACAGAGAAATGTATAAAAGCACCCACGTACTCACCACACGGTTTTGTCAAATCTTAATATTTTCTCCCATTTGCTCTCGATTTTTTTGTTTTAAAGTAAAATAGTACCCATAATTGAAATCCTTGTGTGCCAACCACATCCTTCTCTTCACCTCAGAGGTGACCAGTATTCTGATTTTGATTTCTTATTCTCGTGCTTGTTTTTATGATGTTGGCAACATATTGCAGATCCATAAACTGAATGGTATTGTACATATCCTTCTGTAAATTGCTTTTTCTGACCAATATTTTTTTAGAGAATTTTTTTATTATGGAAGATTTCCAATATGTACAAACATAGAGAGAATAATTTGTTGAATGCCTGTTACTCAGTACCTAGTGCCAACAATTAATCGACCCATAGTCATCTCCTCTATTCTTTCCCACTGCTGCCATTTTAAAGCAAATAATTTTTTATCCATAAGTTTGTATTTCTAAAAGATAAAAGTTTTTTAGCATCATACCACTGCTACACATAGTAAAAATTTGATAGTAATTCCATAGTATTAAATATCCTATTCATGTTAAATCTCCCCAAATGCTTTTTGTACCGTTGGTTTGTTCTAATCAGCTGCTTTCGGTTGATAGGTTTCTTAAGTGTCACAGACATTATTATGCTGAGCAGAAGAAACCAGACTCAAATGAGGACATAGTATATGATTCCATTGATATGTTTAAAAATCGGGTGAAATGAATCTTTGGTGGTAGATATCAGAATTCTGGTTTCCTCTGTAGAAGGGAAAATACCGATGGGCCAGAAGACTCTTCTATCAAATGTTCTATCATTCTTTTTCATGTTAGCTAGAATACTACCATAACAAAATGGACTTTGCAAAAAGAAACTTTATCAAGTATTTAATTACTATGTAAGTCTTTTTTTTCTTTTTTGAGGTGACATTAATTTACAACACTGTATAAGTGTCAGGTGTACAATTTCTCACCTCACCTCAACAGTTTTATGTATCACACCACACCCACCTGCAAATACTTGTCAAATGCCTGATTCTTTATTTGCAGTTTTCAGAATGAGTTGGTTCTCCTGCATCCTCCAAAAGGGACCTCCAAGATGTTGTTGGCATCTGTATGCTCTCACGGATTTTTAACATATATGCTGTGTTTCAATCCTTCGCTGTTGCTCTGTTGTTCAAAGTGTCCCATCTTTGGACCATGGGAACCTCTTCCAGTGGGCTCCTGAGCCCTTTTGACATCAATGTTTAAGTTTTGGAGAAGTGTTTCTGGCGTTCATTTTAATTGCTATATGCCATTCATCATGTACTGATTGAACTTTCATAAATACAGATATGAAGATATCTCTCTTCTTCTTAAAATCCTTCAGTGGATAAAGTCCGTACTCCTCTCAGTGTTTCTTGGGCACTTCATTTACATTTCCAGATCCACTTTCCCATCTTGGACTCAGGCCATTCAAACTAACAAACCTTGAGCATCCTGACCTGGCCACTCACGTGCCATCATCTTCATCACACTGTCCCCTCTGCCTATAACACCTCCTCACCTTGCCGCCTGTCTTTGCCTTGCTGTCTTCTGTCCACACCTTTGGTCTCATTTCAGCCATCATTTCCCCCAGGAAACCTTTTCTGGCTGTTCCTACCTCCTCTAATGCTGGGTTAGGAGGCATATTTGTGGGGGGAGGGAGAACAGGGCAGTTCCTGGGGCACCAGTCCGTCGCTGGAAATGTCATGAGAGGGAGAAAGTGCTCAGGGAGTGTCCCCAGAGTGGCTGGGAGGCACACTTTGATAAGCCCCTGGGGAGGTGAGTTGGCATCCTGGAATGGGTTCTCGGTGCAGAGAGGGAGGGTTGTGGGTTTTTCTGTTTTGATAATAGGCTCTGTGAGTTAGGCCAGAGTGGCAGGACTCTGGACCAGGCCAGACTAGTCTGATCTTGGGCCTGGGAGACCACCTGCCTCGCTGGTATCCACTCCAGCCCCAGCTCTTCCCCAGCAAAATGTTGAAAAATATCAGAGTACCATGTAGAAGGCATTAACCCACTGCCTCCATCTAGCACCATGCCCCTGTTAGAGATAGGTCTTATCACTGTACTGTAACTGACATTTACTTATCTGTTCCTCTTCCCTGCACACTCCCCCACCTTGAAGCTTCCAAAGAATAGGGTTTGGCTTTCTATCTCCTCCTACAGCCTGAGCACTTAACACAGGTCAGGCTTGTAGGTTGTTCTTGGTACAGTCTTGTTGAATTGGATAATTATTGCTCAGAAGACCTCTCAAAATGCCCCCACCAGTGATTCTCAACCCTAGAATCACCTAGGGGTGAATTTTCAAAATTCAGATGCAAGGGCCTCCCTCAGACTTGTTGATTATTCCAAATATCTGGGGGTGGAGCTTGTCTGGTATCCTTTTCCAAGTTCTCCAGTTTGCTCTAATATGTAGTCAAAACCAAGAGAGAACCCCAGGTCCAGTTACACATGTCCCCAATATATGGCCCACGGCCCATACTGATTCAGGAGAAGTAAACAATGTCCTCACAGCCTCTGCCCCCTTAACCTGCTAGGCCGAGGTGTCCGGGGGTGGGAGTCGCAGTTGTAGGGCTGGGTAGCCTTGTGCCCCACCCCAGGGGAGCAGTGCACTGATGTGATTCCCGGCTGCAGTTTGAAGAGATCCACGAGGTGATCACGCGCTACAAGACACTGGTGAGCATGCACCAAGACCTCTTGCAGTCAGCGCAGGAAGGCCAGGAAAACATTGAGCGTGCCAAGGCCCGGCTGGCGCGCTACATGGAAGAGAAGGACGACGAGATCCTGCAGCACAACAACGAGCTGGCCCGCCTGCAGATGCGCTTTGATCGTGCCCGCAGCGACGTCATCATCTGGGTGAGGGGCCTCCTGGGCAGGGCTGGGAGCAGGAGGGCCTCTGGGCACTAGGTGAGTGAGGGGCATGCACCTACTCCCCACTCAGGCCTCTTCTTCATCCCCTCCCTAGGAATCTCGCTGGGCACATATCCAGAACACTGCAGCCAAGAAGACTCTCTTGCTTGGCACCATTAAGATGGCGACACTGAACCTCTTCCAGATCGTCAGCAAGCAAATGAAGGAGACAACCTCAGTGTCTCTGGAGGACACACACAAACAGCTGGATATGGTAGGAGATGGGGCGGGTGCCTTGGAGCCTGGATCTTCTGGGCCAAGGTAGTTCTGGAGAGGTTAAGTGGAGCAGTGCATTCTCACCCTCAGTCTGGCTCAGTGTCTGGGATGACAGTTCATGAATTTCCATGTTCAACAAGGTCCTAGATGATGGTCTGGTCTGAATTTCAGACTTTGAGATCCCCTGCATTAGAGCTAAGATCTGTTGTCCCCAACCAACATGGGAGCACGGAGACCCACCATGGAATTAATTTTTTGTGCAAAGCAGTCTTACTAAATCCTTGTGAGTCACTGCAGACCTGTGGCCCACTCTGGGAAAAGAGAAAAGATTTTTGGAAAAAGGGAAATCACGTTTTTGATTTCTTTTTGAACTAATTGAAAGGAAATTAAAAAGGAAATCACTTTCTCACTGTGTGTTTCAAAGCTGTCTAATACATGTCCCTGTGTCACCTAAAATCGTCTCACATCTGGCACTTGGGGTGATTTTAACACTATTAATGACTGACAATCTTATGGGAGTTTAGAAGGGTCTGTGTAGTCCCTTCTCCAGGGACATTCTTGAAAAGGAGAAATTTTTAAACTGAGTTATTAAAGGCCTCTAGGCCTACCTTTTCAAAGATGAAGAAACTGTCCTAGAAAGATGAGGTGATTTCCCCAAAGCTGTGTTTGGGTCTTCTGACTTCCAAAGCAGCCCACTTTCCCTGTCACTTGTTCTTTAAAATAGCAGCTAATGAAGGGTCCTCCCTGGTGGAACAGGGGTTAAAGTCTCAACACTATCAAGCTATCACCAGCCATTCCACTGCAGCATGAGTTCAATCCCCAGCCAGGGAGGGGACCCACATGGCACAGCAGACCTCTCCTGTCTCACCTGCTGCTCCCCTCAGCAGTTTATTTCAGTAGATCTGCCTGTTCTGCTCCCCACTCTGTCTCTGGTGAATCCTCTCACCCCCCCCCCCCACCTCTGGCCTGCACCCCAGCTCTTGTATGCATAAATAAATAAATCTTTTTTTAAAAAAAAAGCAAGAGTATCTGAAAAATATGTACAAGCACTGCTTATAAAATGAAAAACTAGGGCCTCCCCTGGTGGCACAGTGGTTGAGCGCTGGGCTGCGAGGCTACCCACAGCCTCTGCAGCGCCGGTTCGTTCCCCAGTCGCCGGCAAGGGTCCCACAAAAAAAAAAAATAAATAAAAAAAATAAATAAATAATATAATATAATAAAATGAAAAACTAGGCCTACCTGGTGACCTAGGGGTTAAGTCTCAGCTCTATGAAGCTATCCGCAGCCTCTGCAGCACTTTTCGATCCCTGGTCGGCTAGAAACCCACATGGTGAAACAGACCTCTCATATCTCGCCTGCTGCTCCCCTCAGCAGTGTATTTCAGTCAGTCTGCCTGTTCTTCTCCCCACTCTGTCTCTGGTGAATCCTCTCACCCACTGTACCTCTGGCCTGCACCCCAGCTCCTGTATGCATAAATAAAGAAAAATAAATCTTTTCTTAAAAAGTAGCTAATGAATAGAATTCAAGCTTCCCTTGATGACTCAAGATGATCACAATGCACATCAGCTTGAGTTTCAAGAAAAGGACCAGCTTGAAGGCTATGAAACTGGAGAGCTGTGCCCGACACTGCCTGCCCCAGGTCCACTCACCTTCCTCTCACGCTTCTCCTCTGTTAGGCTGTCAACCTGTACTTCCTCATACTCCCCCGTGTTTGCCTCTAGGAGTCCCCAACTCTGATCCTAGTTACTGCTGCTTGTCTACTAACCTGATACTCAATTTCAACTAGAATAATTGTCGAATGAGGGCAGGTGGGCTCCTCAAGGGGTCATTCCAGGAAAAAGCTATACCTTGCCAGTTACGCCAGACTTATTCAGATTTTGGGCTGGGATGGCTTCTTGCTGGGTGGGGTTAATTCTGTCCCCCTTGCTTTGTTAGATCCAGCAGTTTATCCAAGACCTGTCGGACATCTGGGCAGAGGTAAAGAAGAAGGAACAGCAGCAAGTCCGGGTTTAAGGAGCACCGTGGTTCAAGAGTGTTCTGAGACAGAATCTGAGAGAGAATAAGTTCCTGGCAAGCTCGCAGCCTAGTCAGCCCAGTTGAGCCCTCTGCCTTTCTGCTGGTGCACATCCTGCCCCTCAGCCTCAATCCATCCCAGCCATGAAAACATTAAATTCTATAAGAAGTTTGTCCCTAAGTTCTCTCTCCTTTTGGTGGTTTATTAATGAGGAAGTGTCCAAAGAAGAGAGAGCTCCCAAAAATCTCTTCTCTCCAAGCTGGTCACTGTGGCTGGGTCCTCTCTCAAATCTCAGGCCTACTTCCTCCTAGGCTTTGTACTTGCACATAGTAAGCGTTCTCCTGAGCAACATGCCAGTGAGGTGAGTACATAGGACCCTTCTTTACTCTTCCACTTCAAAAAATAATTTTTTTAAGTTGGTGTTTCTAAGTGGGGTGCAAAGTAGGGTAGAAACTATGATGGCAGCTTCCCAAGTCAGGGTTCCAAAGATGGTAAGTGAAAAACTTCCTTGGGCCTCCCTGGTGGTGCAGGAGTTAGTCTCAACACTATCAAGCTGTTGCCAGCCATTGCAATGTGAGTTCGATCCCGGCCAGGGAGCTAACCCACATGGTGCAGCAGACCTCTCCTGTCTCCCCTCAACAGTGTATTTCAGTAGATCTGCCTATTCTGCTCCCTCTAGCTCTGGTGAATCCTCTCATACCCCCACACCTCTGGCCTGGTTCTTGTATGCATGAATAAATAAAATGAATCTTTAAAAAGAAAGAACTCTGCCTTGACCTCAGGAGCAGTCCATGCCCTCTAACCCACTGTGGACCCTCAAACACATGATATGACGTAGGAATCACAGTCAGGCCACCAAATGCCCACCTCAGGGCTCGGGGGCACCTTTACAGGCTGGAATGATGGACTAAAACCAGCAAAACTAAACTGAGTCGAGGTCAATGTAATGCACTTAGGATCAAAACCTTAGTTGCACATGTCAGTACATGTCTAAATCAGCAATGGCATTCGTGAAATCAGAGACGACTGAGGTGCAAGGGACAGATGAAACATTTATTGAGTATATGCTTCATCATCCTGTTGAAAACTCTGTGAGGCACCATTAACCCTGTCTTAGCAAATAGGACATTTGCCCAAGACACAGGCTGCAAACAGCAGGGCCTGCCCCAAGCCGGTGCTCCCTCCTTAGCCAGGCTGCCTCTCAGAGGCAAAGGCAATGTTGTTTTCCCTTCAAAAAAGGCAGATGAGCAGGCTGGGAACAAGGCTTTCTCCCTGGCCTTTGACCCTAGAGGGCTTACACATCCCCATTTTGCACAAAAGAAGACACAGGCAGCCTCCTGGCTGGGATCCTGCCTTTGTATGTACCACCTTACAGCACTGCCTCAATACCTGTTCTCTAGACCAGCAGCATGAGCATCACCTGGGAACTTACTAGACTTGCGAAATCTCAGGCCACTCCCCAGACCTGAGAATTAAAAATTCTGGAGGTGGGACCAGCAATCTGAGTTCTAACAAGCCCTCCAGGTGATGCGGATGCACACTCAGGCTTGAGAAGCACTGCTTTTAGTGAACCAAACACTTCCGAGGACCTGAGCTCAGTGACATGCTTATCAGTAACCCAGACATGTCATTCAGTGTGCAACCAGAGAAGCAGAGCCGCCAGGAGATGGATGTCATATATGAAGGGCTCTGGTTCAGCTGAGTTTGCAAAAGCTATTGTCTTCCTACTTATGCTGGGGATTGAAGCCCAGAGGGGAGGTTGTAGGGTCAGGAACAGGCACTGTGCAGGTTTTCTAATCCAGCAGACCAGGTAAAGGAGGAGTCAGAGTCCTCAGTGTTTTTTGCAGGTCTTTTATTGGGGTTCACCAGGCATATGGCAGGCAGGGGTGCTGGAGGGCGGGGAGGCCGGCAGGCCTCCCAGCCCTTAGCAGGTCTTTACTCTGGGCTCTCCGGCCTTCTCTCAGTTTCATGCTTCTCTTGCTTCTGTTTCTCTCTCGGCTTCTCTTTCGGCTTCTTCTGGCGTCCTCATGATGCCGCCCTTAAAAAGCCCAGTCTCAGCCCAGGTGAATCCCATCTACCTATGCCCACACCCTATTCCAGATGCCCGCCATCAGGCATGCATTCAGGACCGCAAGGATCCATCATCTATCCTGATGGCAGGAGGGCAGAAAAGCCTAACATTTTTTCCTTACCCTACAGAGGTAAATGGGAAAGATTTGGGATGTGAGTTGGGGAGATCAAGAGTAAGTTGAAATCCATGCACAGGAGCTGGAATCCCTGAGGACAGACAGACACCCCTGCCAGTTCTTGTTTCTGAGCTCACTGGCTTGGGTGTCCTGCAGAAGCCTGAACACCCCATAATGGAGGTGAACACACACACCTGGCCCAGGAGGCTAATTAACTGAAGGAGGATGGGAGGCAGGTGGAGCCATAGCCGCTGCTGCTGAGGTGATCACGAGACTGCCAGCTACAGTGTGTGGGGCTACGATGCAGCTGCTGCTGCTTTTCTACCTTCCAAACCTTCCATGGGGGTCTTCTGTGACCCCCACTCTGCAGAAACCCCCAGGAAGAATTTTAGGAAATAGAGTTCAGCCTAGTCGGGCTGCCACACCCTCAAGCCTCCACACCACCATCATCGGTTGTACAGGTGAGGAAGAGGAGGGGAGTGGGGCTGGCTGGAGCTTATCTCTGGAAGGGGTTGGAGGGTAGAAGTCAGTTTGCAAGTGCAGGGCAGGGTGTGTCCTGGGGTGACACTCAGGGAAGTGGGTACAGTCACTCACTGGAAGGAGGTGTCGGGCCTCCAGAAGCTGGTTTGTGGGTGAAGGATATGACTCTGAAATAGCCACCCCTGATCTTTTGAGTCTTCTGGGCTGTGTCTTGGGAGGCAGGAGAGGGCACAGGACAGACGGTTCCCCAACTCCCCATGCACACACCTCACACTGTTTTCTGCTGTATGTCTGAGGGGATGTTTGAGAAGTCCAGCAGGTAAGGACTAAGCATCTTCCTGGGGGACAGGGCCCCCCCTGAGCCAACCCTGGGGCCCTCCCTCTCTCCTTCCCACTCTCCCCCCTGGCTCCTTCGCTTTGGAGTGTCAAGTTTCCTGCTGACTGAAATGGGGAATTGCAAAGAGTCACACTTTGAATTCCTGTGATCACACACAAGCTTACCACACATATGTTTACAAATGTGTGTGAAACTCACTCTGATATTATTGCATTTTTCAGGTTTGAAAAAGGGCCCAGCCCTGGGGTAGAAGAAATTCCGTGGGTCTAGGCAGATTCCTTGATTACAAGTGAAGCCACAAATCCACAGATTGGTTCCTAAACCCACAAAGGCAGAACAAATCTGGAAGTTTCAGGGATTCTCCGGAGCCTGAGGGGAAGACCTTCCATTGGAGTGGGGGGGACGGGCAGCCCTATGAAGACCCTTGATGCTGCCCTCGGCCCCACTCCAGCCCCTCTCAGCAGTGACTCCTGCAATCCCTCAGCATGTTCATCCTGTGATCTGGGGCCACAAAAAGAAGCCCAGGACCACAGAATGAAGAGAGATTTGGGCTCCCAGATGCTTGAGCTCATGTTCCAAGAAAAAGGACATGAAGTTAAGGGTCTGACTGAAGTTTTCCCAGCAAAAAAGACACCAGCTCATCAAAGCAGAAGTAACTGGTTGCAGAAATGAATGGTTCTTATTAGCAAAGTGGGGAGTAGGGCTCTGTGTGTTTAAAACAGGAAACAAGAGGAGGGAATCCCTTCAGGGACACACTTTCAATGCTGGAACACCCCCTCACCATCAAACCTGTTAGTTCTTCCTGATAGAAAGGAGGAGGGAAGGTGTAGGCACGAGGAAGGAAAAAAGGAAAAGCGGGGAGTAGGCTTCAGGTGTGAAAGAACTGGCGAGCCATCCATGTCATGCTCACAGCTACCACGCTGTGAGGCGTTGGTCCAAAAGCTGTTGGTGAGGATGAATTAGAACTAATAGTTGCAAGTTTTTCAGAGAGACCTCTGTAGCTCTGGAGTAGCTAAAGAGTCCGTGCTTCTGTGGGATTAGCTACTCTGTCTTGAGGGACCAGACCCCTCCTTCAGATGACTGTGCCCTGAAAGACTTTTTCTTAGACTCCAGCTTAGTGTTCCACATCTAAGTACAAGGCTTTCAGCCAGCTGGAGGGGCCCTGACTGCTTCCTCTCATTTCAAGCCACCTCAGGGTTTATGGCTCCAGCCTGAGTGACTGCCCCTTGTCTGGGACCTTCAGTCCAGCAGTGTCTACCTAAAGTGTCAGGGTGCTCCCCTGGTGGTACAAGGGGTTAAGTCTCAGCACTATCAAGCTATCACCAACCACTGCAGCATGAGTTCGATCCCCGGCCAGGGAGCTGACCCACACGGCACAGCAGACCTCTCCTGTCTTGCCGGCTGTTCCCCTCAGCAGTGTATTTCAGTAGATCTGCCTGTTCTCCCCACTCTGTCTCTGGTGAATCCTCTCACCCCCTGTGCCTCTGACCTACACCCCAGCCCTTGTACGCATAAATAAATAAATCTTTAAAAAAAAAACAAAAACGAAGTGTCAGGGTGCTGAAGGCCAGCAGAGAACCAAGGGCCCTGCCTCAGGTAGAGTCTTATTCTCTGGGAGGAGGGGCCTCCTGAGAGCTGTGGTGCTGAGTATAGCATCACCTCAGCTTTCCTCACTTCCCGGGGCCCCATGTTCCCTTAGCTTTAACTCTTTGAAATGTTTAACTTTTTGAAATGGAGAAGGTTCCCAGCGTTGACCACCACGGGAGTCAGGAATGACCACAGGAGTCAGGAATGACAAGAAGCAGGCTCAGAGGCCTCCAGAGCATGATCGCACCCTCAGGAGGGCACATAACCATTTAAGGAATTTTACGAGGAAATGAAGATCTAGAAACATCCAGGGGAATGAAAGTCAGCTGCATAGTGATGCAAAAACTGATTGTTTTCCAATCTGTGTAACAAATTACCACAAACTTGGAGACTTAAACCAACACCCACTCATCTCACAACAGTAGGTCAGTTGTCCATGGGGATTCAACTGGGCCCTCCACTCAGAGCTGAAATCAAGATGTCTGTCAGCCCAGGCTCTTATCTGGAGAGGCTAGGGAAGAATCCACTTCCAACCTCATTCAGGTTGTTGGCAGAACCAGTTTCTTGCGGCTGTGGGACTA